AGGTGAAACGTCTTCAAGCAACTTAAAGAAGTCCAGACGCTTTTCTTTGCAAGCTCCTTTGACTACGATGACCTGGATGACTGAGAACCTTCACAGACAGATTCATTTCAAAAAGAATCCCACATAAGTAATAAAACGTTACATTTAGTTATTCCAAAGGGATGCAGGAGTTGAATGTCAACAAATCATTTAAAATATTAATGCACCCAAGTGTACAAGGAAAGTGCCATTTAGTTCCACTGTATTCAAGAGAAGTCCTACATTTCAGTTCAGTTCAACTTTATTTATATATTGCCAAATCACTACAACAATTCGACATGACTTATATTGTAAGACTGAACAAAGATCTGTGACAGATATACAGCCAACATCTCTAAAGCTGTGCAGTTCATGCGGATTCATGTAAACTGAAAAAAATAGCACGACAGGCCAATGGTAAAAAAAGTCTGACTTCCATCGAACTGTCCCTTTAAAAGCCACACATCTCGAAATAAAAGCTTAAAGTCATTTTCTGTTTTTTATGTGTAGGTATGACTGTGAGGAGATCTGGAGGCAGTTTGAGGAGGCCGTTATTAGTCATTCTTCTTGCAATGTGACCGTCGAGGATTATTTTCACATGTTTAACGCAATGCCACAAATCTGGCCCTGTGATAATGTGAGCTGTGTTGGCATTTTCGTGCCTTATATATACGTTTTTTTTTAATTTATAGTCATATAATTATACTACTTTAAATTATAGTCTTTTTGTTAACTTGCTTTGTATTTACCTTTTTTTTCTTAGTTCCTCTTCTGGAGTAAAACCAGGACACTGATGCACAGCTATGCTGCAGTTTTTCGTCACTTCTGGACACTGGAAGACACGCTGGTTGGCTACATGTTCAACGATCTCATTTGGTGTGGCCAAGAAGAGGATTCTGGTAGACGTTTGTGTTTTGTTTTTTTGTGTTGTATTGTGTTTTTTATTTTGTTTTGTTTCAACAAAAGATAAATCATTACCGTTCGTGTAATTTAATTATTTTCACGAGAAAAATGATCAGAGACATAAAAGGCTTTGACCTCTCCGAGGTTTGGTGCCACTGCATTAAATTGGTCCAAGTAAATTAAAAGAAAATCAAGTAAATACTTGAATTTTACATACATATTAATATTAGAATTTTCTTTCACTATATATTATTGAACAACAATTCATAAAAAGCTTTGTGGTGGTGGTGTGATGGAGCGAGGTTCCATCTTCTCCATCAGACAATCCTAAAGGAGGATTTCTGGCCATCAGTTGGCACCTTGAAGTTTAACCACATTTGAGTTACGCAACAGCATAAGTCGAACACGCCAGCAAAAACCAACAAGCAAAACAAAAAAATACAAGCATTTCATACTGGAAAATACTCCAATGTCCTGAATTTAAACAATTCTGCAAAGAAGACTGGACCAAAATTCCTTAATCACAAATGCTTGGTTGCAGTTCTCGCAATTCTTGCAGAGTGTTGTGAAAAGTGCCACCTTATTCATTTATTATCTGAAACGTAAGTATGACAAATATGCAAATCGGGACCCTTCTTGGCAAAATCTTTTTTACAGCACTGTGTTTAAGATGGGCAGTGACGGTCAAGATGCTTATCAAAGCTGACTACCCAATCAAAAGCAAGATTTCTGGCAGTTAGAAGAACTGAAAGTGAAATAGCGCAGGCACAGATAAGAAGGACAGATACTTGGCTGCCATCCACATCTTTATAACATTAATGCAGTCATAAAGGGCAGCTATATTCTGGGGTTTGAATGACATTTGCAACTGGATATCATCTGTATAAAAAAAGTAGTATGAGATGGCTTCAAAGGTATTGACGATGTGTCCAAATGAAAGCATAGACAAGGCAAATAAGATGGGCCTGAGGACCTAACCTTTGGGCACACCACAAGATAAAGTGGCAGAAGATGACACAAACTGAAATGCAGATTCCCGCCTAAGTTTTTAGTCTCTCAATCAGGAGACCATGATCAGCTGTGTCAAAGGCAGCAAAAGATTCAACAGTACAAAAACAGACTTTTCAACTGTGTCGTTATGTAATTTAATTTTATTTCAAACTCTAGGAAGAGCTGTTTCTTAGAGGTGTATGAATAAAGTGCATGTGATGTTAATTAACATGTATCTAAAACATTATGTTTAGTTACAGCCACTCTAAGCTGGTTCTGGAGATAAAAGGCAAATTTATCAATATAAAATTCTGAGCGAGGTGATGGGTCAGCGCTGTGCTTTTTCAAAAGCGGATGAATAACAGCTTGTTCAAAGTCCGTGCTATGACAATAACATCACAAAGTTACTGCAAATTTGTCAGCTGCACAGTCATGATGCAAATCTCCCTCTTCACCACAACACAAAGATGCGCTATTGGACTGAAATCTGGTGACTGTGGAGGCCATTTGAGTACAGTGAACTCATTGTTGAATCCAAGAAGCCAGTTTGAGATGGTGGCTGCTTGCAGCACGATGGGCAGCATGTGATTGGCTGATTAGATTTGCATTAATGAGCTGAACAGGTGTATCTAATAAAGCAGCCAGTGAGGTGTTGAAATTGGTAGCTTCAAGGTTTGATTCCCAGTCTCAGCCTCTCCAGACGGTGAATTTGTATTCCCTGCTTTCATAGCCCCTTTATGAAATGTGTCTGGCACCCATATTCCAGTTTAGCTGTTTCACTTTACACTTTTAGATAAACAAAGCTAGCAAACTGCTGGGTGTAGCTTCATAATTTCCACACAAGCATAAGAGTGGTATCAAACTCTTGCTTTAAACATACGTGGATTGAATGATGACAAATTAAGAATGATTGTTTGGTAGCAACGGGATTCAGCAAAAGATTTATAATTCAGACAGCTGCAGCTGTGTTCCCAAACGTTTTACAGAACTTTTAAGACTTTTCTTATATAACTAGTCTTCTTGCATGTCAACACAGCACATGTCTTTCTTGAATATCTCATATCTCAAGTAATGACACTTGTGAATTTGACACAGGTTTTGATTTCAGCTCTTGTCCGGAGTGGTCGGCCTGTCGAAGTCATCCGGTCTATTCCCTGTGGAGGCAAGCTTCACAAAACGTGAGTTTAATATCCAGACTCTGGAATGGCTCCATCTCTGTTCTGCAAACAGCTGTGTTATTTATCATCTACCTCTCCAAAACTGGCACTGCTTTATTGCTCTTCTGTGACTTTCCTCATCCATTTGCTAGTTTGCAGAGATGGCGTGTGGCAACATTACTATCTTACTGAATGGATCTATTGTTAATGCCTTCAATAGGAAAAGGTAAGAAATAATGAATAATTCAGTAGGTTGGTGCAGTTTCTGAACTACATATTAAATCAATCCTTTTTCTCATGCAGCATGTTTGGAAGTGTTGAACTGGACAGTCTGGATCCACAAAGGGTGAATTATGTCAACATTAAGGTGGTGACCAGTCTAGACGGACCCCATATGTGAGGATAATAAAAGGATATTCTTGTGTTTTAAAAAAGTAACTACTGATGAGTTCACATTGTCCAAATTCCATTAATTAGCACCTTAACTGCTAGGATGATAGGATGACATGTTATAAAGCTTGAAACCCTCAGTTACCCATCATTTATGACCTCACTATAGTTTAGTGACCCGAATATATTATCATGCAGTTGTATAACAGCAACACAGTTGAACTTAAATGAAAGGATAACTATTTTTCAGGGCGTGACAGCCCAAAGGTTGTCTTTATGTATGGCAAATAACTGATATGATTTACTGCTTAGTGACATTGTTATCCTTTACAGCTTGTGAATAGCAACCTATCAGAAAGTTGCAGTGGGCCTGAGAGGTTTGTGTTGTTGTTTTTTTCTTTGACAGAGAGTCATGTAGTCAAGGATCCATTGTAGACCTGATCCAAATCCTCCAATCCAGAGGCTTTCACTGGACCTGTACAGACAATGACCAGTACGTAATGTTCAGTGTTTGGAAGTTTCGTGACATCAAAGTTAATTATGAATCTGGAATAGTGGTCTTAGATCAAAGCATCAGATCATGTGACAGTTGTTAGTCATCAAGTGTGTTTTACTGCTCCTTTTTTACACAGAGATCCATGCCTTAACAGGAAACACTTTTATGAAACCGTCAATCAGTAACAGGTCTTTTTTCTTCACAGGACCTTGATGATCTTGCAATGCATCCGGAACCCGCAACACTCATCCTGCCAGACATGTGCAAACACTTTGTTAAACAGGAACGGCCTTACGTCTAATTAAATCACAGACTGCTGTAAAATCTATATCTTTCAAAGTAAATCCAGAGTGCAAAAAAAGGAACAATGAATACTGTAAACACTGTCATTCTTAGATAATACAGGCTTGCAAAATGCACCTGTTTCAGCTGCATTTTGCTTGCAGATTTGTGGGGATCAGTGAAGTGTAGTGGATACGCAAAACACACTCATGCACACTGCATAGAAAAAAAAGGAAGCTATGAAGCTATGAAGTTATTGCACTGTTTAATTGTGGTTTCATTATTAGCATTTTGCCTGTGTAGTGTGTGCAATAACTTCATAGCTTTTTATATTTTCTTTGTGATCCCTTAAAGATCAATGCACAGAATGGTGTTTCAGAGATTACAATGCTGAGGCACCCTGTGTCAAAAAAGAGGTTATTGAACCCAGTTAAATCAAATATGCTTTTTTTTCTATGCTGTGAATATCTGGCCACATACAGGTCACCATCATGTGTCTTGTTTTGCTCTAGTTTTCAGTTAAATTAACACAACCCTGACAGTAAAACAGGAGATCTTTTCTTCAGTTGGCTAACCCTGCTAATTAAATGGGATCAGTACAGTTCAGAGGACAGAGGACTGGAGCACAGTCAGCAATGCTGTGATTAATTCGCAGCTTTTAATTCTACAAATGTACTAACGTTTCTAATGGAGTCACAGCAGTACTGACAGATGAGTCTGTTTGCAGCATTAAAGGCTGTAAAATTATCAGTTCCTCCTCTCCATGATGAGAAGCACCTGTTTCACTGTGTAGTTTTGTGATTTGTTTTGTTGTGTCACAGGAAGCTGCCAAGGCCATACTTTGGTGTTCTTATAAGTATACATCCACAGTTTAACATATAATTGCATTTATCATCACTTTATGTGTGCTCCAAGGTAGAATTTCAGTAGGCAATTCATGTCTGCCAATACGCCCACAACAGGGATGACAAAGAGGTTTTCTGCATTCTTAAACATTTCCTTTGAATTTCCTTCTTTGTACTCAAAGGTCATTGGCATTTCTCAACATGTTTATAAGTATCACTTATTCTGTGACATCTAAACTGGAGCCCATAACCGTCTTACAGCAGATGATTGACATTTAACTGCTGCTATGAACGTCCTTATTAACCTCCCTACCTACTTACACATTTTTGTGCATTTTGAATTAGTTTCACACTGAATGCTCATGAGAGGTTCATGCATTTAGTGCTGCAGCTACCACTGTAAGCAGAGCTTTAATTTAATTGTTCAATAAGGAGGAATGAATATCAACCCCAGCTGCTGTTTAAATCTGTATAGCAACGCAGATCACATGGTAGTAATTCTAAGCATTTAGGCATGGTGACAGGTTAGTAGTAGTGGTAGTCTGAGTATTTCAGGAACTCCTGATCCACTGGGATTTTAACACACAAACACCTCTAGAGATTACACAGAGTGATCGGAAAACCAGAAAATATCAAGATAGCAGCAGTTCTCGGGAATCCATCCTGTCTTGTGTCAACAGTTCAGGCTGCTGGTGGTGTTGCTGTAATGATGTGAGGGATATTTTTTGACAACTTTGTACTAACGCTGTGCAACTTAGTACTGAGCATTGCCTAAACTTCATATGTAAAGGGATGGGCGGCTCAAATAATCTTAAACTGGCTCCTTGAACATGACAGTGAGTTCACTGCACTCAAATGGTCTCCACAGTCACCAGAGCTCAGTCTAAAAGGGCACCTGTGGCATGTGGCGAAACGGAAAATTCAAATCGTGGAAGTTGCAGCATCTGTGAGATGCTGTCATCACGATCTCAGAGGAATGTTTCCAGCATCTTGTTGAAAGTATGTCATGAAGAATGAGGGCAGTTCTGAATGCAAACAGTGTAAAACCCAGCACAAGCAACATGTAGCCTAATTAGTGCTGGAGTTAATCGCATATGCTCCCACCTCTGATGAAATCTCACAAGTGTTAGCTTTCTTTTGATGCCAAGGTTGTTTACACAGAGTTTGTAATTGCAGAGAAATAGTCGATTCATTTTGGGCAAGAAGCTCAGAAAGCGCTTTGAGGCTTAACAGGTTAAATAAAGTAGCTTTAGACTTTGGCATTAATTCAGAGAGCACAGAAACACCATAAATCAAGGAAGAGATAAAGCTGAGTAAAAATGGTGCAGTGTGACTTTTGTCACAGATGGGCACATTTCGGATGTGGGTCGGAGAGGGGGGGTAGAGTAGGTTCGGCCGGATGGCTCCTCAGCCTCAGTTGGACGATAGGGGTATATGGTAGGCGTGGTCTGTGGTGCCGCTGCAGAAGCAATGGACGCACCTGCAGGCCTTTACAATCATGCCTCGCCGGCTTTAAAATCTGCACTGGGTCCTGAGAGTTGTTAGTGATGTGAGTCGGGCTTTGAGCTAGAAAGCTGCAGCTGACGGAGTGTATTTGTAGCAGCAACCGACTGTTGAATAAAGTATGCTGAAAAGCATGTTCATGCAAACATCGAATCTGGTCGAATATTGGTGTGCTTACAGTGCACTTGCATGTTTCCATATTTGATCCATCTTGGCAAATGCAGGAGTGATTGCATTTGAA